ACCATAGTGGCTGTTGTCTTTTAGGCAGTTGGGTTAACACTTGTATGCATATTTTTAACAACAAAATTGGGTTTTATCTGCCGGACATGTTTTGTCCCTTATCTCAAGAATCACTGAACTGTCACATTATTTGTGGAACAGACAGGGAGAAGCACTTTAAGCTGTTGAGGCCATGGTAAAAGCTTATGTGCAGGACTGACAGTGTATGAGTAAAGCAAGTCAAGTTAGTGTAATTAAATATGAAATATATCACATGATTCAGAACAGTGTGGTTTGGCTTTGAATGTCCTATGTCTCTCTCTCTCTCTCTCTCTCTCTCTCTCTCAGCTAATGGATGCTTTCCAGCTTCTCTTTCTTGTTGCAGTGGTGACATCCATATCAGAATGGAAATCAGGTGGTGTATACAGTACACGATTCATCTGCATGTGCTAAACCGCACATCTTACACCTTACAATGAAACCTGGTGAAGCAGCACACCCAGTATTAATCAGGCTCAAAAGGCCGCTGATGTGAAATGCATATCATGACAATTTTGAGCAAGTTGTAGAAAAAGTTATATCAAAAGTTATCATTGATGGGTCAGCAAAACATCAAAGCCAAAATGTAGAAGGTAAAAATGTATGGCAAGACAGAAAGGCCATAAAAATCATTGAAAAACATTAAGGCAAAAAAGAAAAGGAACATTTCATAAACATTTTCATTTCATCGTACAGCATTGTAGCATCTGCAACACACCTTTCACATTTGCATTTGCACTTATCATCACCTCTATCTGCTTCTCCCTCAGTTTCAGATTCTGGCAAATCACAATGTGAGATCATGAATGAGGAGAGCATTACCGTGCTTGAAGGGGAGTCTCTTTTTTATGTACCTTTTATTTTAGAACCAAACTTCAACAATAAAAATGTTAAATGGTACAAATATAGCACCCAAATTCAGAATATTTCCTCTGATAAGAAAGCCAGGGTGCATTACCAAGGCGAAGCACTGTTTCTCTTAAACCTCAACATTTCTGATTCTGGAGATTACGCTGCTTGGTAAGAATCATCTCTACGAAATATGTTACAAAATTTCTATCTAGCATCTAACATTAGTGATGGTCTGGGTTTTCTTGAACTCTAAAACAATTTTCTTCTTTTTTTGTCTCTTTTTTTGTTAATGTGCTTCCCACTCATTGATTCACTTTTAGGGAAATCAAGTCTTCAGGACAATGTTTTAACCACCCTGTGAAAATTGAAGTGTTCAATGCAAGTTACAGAGGAAGCAAGATGTTAAACTACGGAGAAATCAAAAACTCTGACCAGAGTAAAAAGGTCCCATGTCCAGAACGAGTCCAAAGCACATGTAGTGCATTCAAAGGAAACATCACCTGGTACAAGGTAGGCCAAAAAGCCCAGGTCAGCTTCCTGTTTGTTTGGCAAATTTGCAAACCTGCACCATTGCCTTAAATGCATCCAGGAAAGTCTACAGGTCATCCACCTCTGCCACTACACATATAAAGGCTAAGTGACATCATGGAGCCCTGCTTTCAAAAACGGACATAGATGTGTGGCTGTGAAGCTGGATTTAATAAATACAGTTTTAAAAATCATGTTCAGTGTGATGATTCATGTCATCTTATGTCAGTATAGAAGTTGATACTTTAGTTTATGTTAGCTAACTAGGGACAGAATCAAAACTCAGAGGAAAATAACTGCACTTGAACCAGTGTTGGTCAAGTTACTTGAAAAAAGTAATCAGTAACTAATTACTGATTACTTCCCCCAAAAAGTAATCCCGTTACTTTACTTATTTTCAAAAGTAATTAATTACTTAGTTACTTAGTTACTTTTTAAAAACACGATTTACAACCTGAATAGGTGATAAAGCGATAGATCTTTCAGCCCAATTCTACTTTTTCTGCATAATCCATCATACAAAATGTAATCAAATGGAAAAGTCTCTTTTT